CCTGAGACTGAATTTTATTCGACTTTCTCGAATATTATCGGATCACGACCGGTGCATACAGTGGTGTAAGGATCACAACCTGCTTGCGACGTCGGTAAAATGTCCTCGAGCTGGGTGCAGCAATGAACTTAGCTAGACACGACGTACTTCATCGCGAGACGGGTACGAGTGGCGATGTTCAAAAAAGGGTTGCGATGGAATGGCTTCAATGCGCCGGAATTCACCGGTGCGCACACACAGGGCATCGATACATGGTGGGGAATCAAGCGAGGTTTGCCCCAAACAGGAACATCCAAAGGACTTTTCGATGGCTACCTACAAGAATATATGTGGCGTCAGCACTACGGAAACGATCCCTTTGGAAACAGTATCGAACATAATCGCCCAACTTTATGAAGTCTAGAAAGACTAGATACAAAGGTTTCTTTGCATCGCTGTATGCACCGGCCTTCACGAACAATTTTCATCACTAGGACACGAAAGGATAATGAAAGAATCAACCAAAACCACAAGAACAGGTAAGACACAACATTTATTTAAACTTTGCATTGACAAACTTCAAAGCCTGACCGTGGACTTGACGTTATTTTCCGGCCAATTTTACGCTTTCAAAGCGAAACTGAACTTTAAATTATATTTCAAAATTAAAAACCTCTGGAAAATGCCTTAAATTTCTCGTTTTGCAAAGCCAAAACGCGCCGAATTTACCCTGTTTCAAAAAAGAAACAGGCTACCATCTTTCGCCGTCCCTTTTCGGAATGACAACCACTCTTTTAGTCTTTCTTTGGTAAGATTCCGTGGGAAACTACCACTAAGTAACTGTACTTTCTCCTCAGCGGAAAAGAAGGCTGCTTCTGGAAGACTTTTGGCAGAGAGTATAGCTTTTTTGTCACTTTCTAATACCCGATAGCCTCGCTTTGCTGTTTGCTCACAGAAATACCGCTGGATCGTTTGGGTGGCGTACTCAACTTCGATAAGAGCCATTTATTCCCACGAAACGAGTATGAATGAAAATTGGAGAGACTGGCACTAGTTTACAGCTGGTAACCGCTGATTGGCTTAGCCTGAAAAACGTGGTACAGCTTCCAAAATGGAGGTCGAACGGAGCAGCGAAGCGTCTGGCTCAAAAGAAGGGAAAATTACCTCTGCAGAGGCAAAAACACAGACGATAGGCTGGCAATCCTTGCTGACTTTCACCATCCTTTCTTTAGCATGGCTGGTGGGTTTTGCGAGCCGACTTTTCGCTGTGATACGGTTCGAGAGCATCATCCACGAGTTCGACCCGTGGTAAGCTAAGATCAGATGAAATAATTTGAACAGTCTTTTTCGCGTTATTTTTTAATTTCGATTTCCAAGGTAATAGTAGAGTTTTCTTCGTGATATGTTTATATCTAAGTCTGGGAAGTGGATAAAAAATTTATCTGTGTGCATTTGACAAGTCGGTCTTTTGTTTTCAAATTTTTGACATTTTCAGTAAAGTCTTAAAATTCAAATTTCAACTTAACCTAACTTTACCATAGCTAGGCCAGCGTTTTTCAGTCCGATGATTTGACATAGAAGCGAATTTAACTTTTGGATCGGGTTTTTTAGCTCGGAATTGGGGAGGTCATAATCATTTCGTAATTCCTCCTCAAATTTCGAATTCATTCAAGGGCAACAATTATGTTTGGCCACTATTTCCGTCTTTTGTTGTCTTGGTTATATTAGATCGGGAAGTGTCAGCTGGTTAATTAGTATTTGAAATATCTTAGAATACTGTGTAATGCCGTGACTACTGAGAGTAGTTCTCGTTTGCAGGGAATTTCTGAATCGTGAACTTGTGAAAGAAAGGGAAATTGACTGAAACACAATCCAGGGTCAATAAAGATATGCAAAACCATCTTCCGGAACGAAAGTGCAAATATCAAGTTGAAAGCACATCTGATATTTTACCATGGTGGGAACACCCTTTTTTCTGAAATTTTTTTTTTCAGCGTCTGGCTTCCCTTGCTTGTGATCATATTTTTCCTGATTACGCTCTGATCAATAGGAGGATAATTTTAAATTTTGTGATACTACAAATGATCTTATTGGTGCATGCATTTAATTTATCTATTTCAAGGTTTTTTTTAATTTTGATATGTATTTGTCAAGAACAATTCTAGTTTGAATATTTTGAATAAACAACTTTCAAAAGATGAATTTTCTAAAAAAATTGATTTAATCAGCTGCTCAATATAAGGGACATGACCTCCTTATTTTCTGCTGATCCATTTAAATTTTAATTTTGGACTTTTTAGGCTATTTTTGAATTAGTGTTTACATGCACCTGAGAATAAGGAGGAGTTAAAGATACAAGAACATATGTTCTTGTGGTTTTATGTTGTGGCTTGATTGAGATGTGATTGGAGATAGACAAAGAATTTAAAAAAAAAACCTGGAGAGAATTTTAGAAAATTCATTGCTCTTTAATTTTTGTTACAGGAAATAAGTAATTTATTTGTATGAACTAGCAAGTTTTGCTAAAACATAGAAAGCATGATAATTGTAACTACATACAAATTATCTTTGATGACTGCATTTTATGAATATCAGAATGAACTTAAAAGTACTGAAGCATAAAAAGTATAATTATTGCAACTGTATACAGATTATCTCTGATGAATACTTTTCATGGATATCAGAGTAAACTTAGAATTAAATAATTTTTGAGCAAGGTTTGTTCAAAACATACCTTGTATGTTGAATTGGCAAACTTTGGAGAAACGAAGAGAGTTTTTATCTCTGATCCAGTGCTACAAGATAGTTCTGGAAATAGATAGTCTTCATTTTTCAGACTTTTTTGAACTTACTAAATGTAATCGAACTAGAGCCAATCACGATTATAAGCTCTACGTAAAAATAGCTATCGTAAATTGCTACAAATTTTCTTTTTTTGTACGGATCGTTAATATGTGGAATAATTTGCCTAAAGATATTGTACACGCAGGATCATTGACTTTATTTCGTAACAGACTAAAGATTTACATGAATATTGATTGAGATGATGGTAAACAGTTTTTAATTATCTGTATATAATGTTTTGATCTTTTTATTCGGGGAATCTTTTATATAGGGTTAACCTCTAGAATATCCCCTTTCGAGAGATACTTTTTTTTACAATTTTTTTTATTTTCCTTTCTCTTGAATAAAGTATTGTATGTATTTTATGCTATCAAATTTAAATGGCAGGTGAAATCTTATTTATTTTATTTTTCTCTTTGCAAGTGGGATTTAGTAGCAAATGCCATTTGTAAATGACTAAGATTTTTTACTTAAAGATGTATATGTACACTTCTAATAGTTTGGTGAAGACTCGGTTAACTTTAAGACAAAAGGACAAACAAAGTAAAGCAACGGGTCATGGGTGGCCAGCTTTTCAACTTGTTACAAGCTTGTTCCCCAAGAAAGTTCAAGTTTTGTTTCAAAGTTTGTAAGAGTCATACAGTCTACAGGTCTGTAGGCTTGGCCCATGGACCTATAAGTTGGTTACACATCAAGATTACATCTGATTACAGGCCAGCTAAAACTGACTTAAACTTATTATCTTTTTCAATTTATCAGGTTTAACTATCGGTCCACACATCACCTTGTCACCCATGGATTTTATAACTTTTTGAACTGGTTTGATGAGAGAGCCTGGTATCCATTGGGCAGAATTGTCGGAGGAACAGTGAGTAACACAATTGGCTCACTGATCGAGAATAGTCCCTTTTACAGTTGTAGGCTTGGTGGCCAAGCCTTTGAACAGGAGTGAGGCTAAGGGTGACCCTGTTGTCATAGATACCTGTATTTAGTTAGCATGATAACAAAGTAATTTGCATTTGAAACGCAGCAACATCTCTATCATAACAAGGTCACCCTAAGCCTCACTCCTGTTCAAAGGCTTGGCCACCAAGCCCACAACTGTTAAAAGGACTATTAAAGTTGATCAACCTTTAAATCACTGAGCTGTTCTACAGATTTTACAGGTCATTAATTTTTTTTTTTTTTCCTTCAGGTTTACCCAGGTTTGATGTTGACATCTGCATCTGTTCACTGGGTTCTGAACACACTTAACATCACAGTACATATCAGAGATGTGTGTGTCTTTCTGGCACCAATGTTTAGGTAATGTTGTCTCAATATCTGCATTGTAATGTTGATAATTTGACTTAAGTTTTTATCCTCACAATATCTGTACATTTCAAAGCAGAAAGGTTATGAGAAAAGAAAAAATATCAGCAAGGGGATATTACTTGATTCAATAACAAATTATCAAAACTAAAATCATAAGCAACTTATGGGGAATGGTGAAGCAGGGCTCGAAATTGCGACCAATACAGTCGCATTTGCGACTTAATTTTTATGTTTACAACTAAAACTTCCAGAGGAGTCACAAATTTGCGAGTAGAATAAAAAAGCCAGCAGTCGCTACTTTGCCACTATTTTTGCTGAAATAAATAAAGAAATGAAAAAATATTTTGTCATGTGCCTTGATTATCCTGGACATTTGAAGATATAGGGTAAAATTGTACCTAATTTATCCGCAATGTTGTGCACGCAACGCCATTACCTTGATTGGCCGCCATTGCAGCGGTCTCTTATTCATATGTATTGCAAGCTCGTATTAATTGTTTATTTGTTAAACCGCTGGATTTTTGCGATTAAAATTTGTGAACTTGCGGCTATATTTACGTATGAAATCACAAAATGGCGACTGAACTTTTCTTTTAATTTCGAGTCCTGTGAAGAGAAATAAAATTTAAATCTTAGATCTTAGTGATCGATATTTTCTATGTCTTTTCTTCAGTGGTCTCACGGCCATAGCAACGTATCTCCTGACCAAGGAACTATGGAATGATCGTGCTGGTCTCTTTGCAGCTTGTTTCATAGCAATTGGTAAGTAATAGTTACTGTTGCAGTGGTATTTTTTGTTGGCGGGTTAAAATTCCGCAAATAAGGAGTCAATAGGAACTAGAAGACATGCTGAATGCATCAAAATTGTTGTTTTAGCATGAATGGTGTAGTCTGATAAACAAATATAATGTATCTCTATATAATGTAACGGCCTCCCGGTTAGCTCAATGGATAGAGCGCTGGACTGTTGTGCGGGAGGTCGAGGGTTCGAGCCCTGGCTGGACCAACACTCAAGGTCTTAAAATAATTGAGAAGAATATGCTTCCTTTCTATAACATCAAGAAATGGTTAGATATTCTAGTCTTCTCGGATAGGGACGAATAAATGGAGGTCCCGTCTCCTGCAGGGTTAGGGNGGAACATGGGGGGAGGGGGTCAGGAGAAATTAGATGCTAGTCACTCTTAGGGGTCAAGGAGTTGAGGAACATGGGGGGAGGGGGTCAGGAGAAATTAGATGCTAGTCACTCTTAGGGGTCAAGGAGTTGAGGAACATGGGGGGAGGGGGTCAGGAGAAATTAGATGCTAGTCACTCTTAGGGGTCAAGGAGTTGAGGAACATGGGGGGAGGGGGTCAGGAGAAATTAGATGCTAGTCACTCTTAGGGGTCAAGGAGTTGAGGAACATGGGGGAGGGGGTCAGGAGAAATTAGATGCTAGTCACTCTTAGGGGTCAAGGAGTTGAGGAACATGGGGGGAGGGGGTCAGGAGAAATTAGATGCTAGTCACTCTTAGGGGTCAAGGAGTTGAGGAACATGGGGGGAGGGGGTCAGGAGAAATTAGATGCTAGTCACTCTTAGGGGTCAAGGAGTTGAGGAACATGGGGGGAGGGGGTCAGGAGAAATTAGATGCTAGTCACTCTTGGGGGTCAAGGAGTTGAGGAACATGGGGAGAGGGGGTCAGGAGAAATTAGATGCTAGTCACTCTTGGGGGTCAAGGAGTTGAGGAACATGGGGGGAGGGGGTCAGGAGAAATTAGATGCTAGTCGCCCGTAGGGGTCAAAGAATTATGAATTTTCATTTACTTATTTTTCTTTAATTGAGATTGTTTGGTTTAAATCCCAAATTTTGGGTACAATGAGTTTTCTCATCATCTGAATATCTGGCATTCTTCCACTAGGCTCGGTTTTCTTTTGTTCTTTTTAACAATTATGACTGGTTAACCTTACTCTAACTATTGTTGCTGAGAATATTTCAATATTTTTAGTCACAGGTTAAAAGAGTTTGTTCCTTGCTTTGCTAATTGGTATGGGCATTTGGGAATAGCACATATTATACAAAACTAACTAGTACACATTTTAATGCCGACTTTTCTTATACACCTGTCAGGTTTCTGCATGGGGTGGATATGTGTTCATTATCAATCTGATTCCTCTTCATGTCTTCTTCCTTCTTCTGATGGGAAGGTTTTCATTTAGGATTTATGTTGGTAAGTTTATGGCTGATTACCTTTTTTTTTTTCGTTCTTCCCAACAGTGGGGAGGAGGGGGGGGAGGGGGGAATGTAAACAGATATGCTTAATCTTCATTTTAGACAGAGGCAGTGTATTCTCTGGTGGGTTTACTTGAAAGTCAAAGATGATATTTCCTTTAGATACTTTTAATTGATAACAACAAATGGACAGTGAGATGAAAGTGTATTTTTTAAAACCAATGGTAAAAATGGGCTCAAGTTTATATGCTGCACTCACTCCCACTTTGGCTGATGCATCCACCTTCCCCTGTTCTGCTCTATCACTTGCCCTTTAGGTGTTCTTACCTAAGTCATGGCTCTGAGGCAACTGCATTCCTACTCTGCCTTGTCTTTTTTTTGGTGTTGATTAGAATGGTCTTCCACTTGTTCTACACTTTGTTAATAAGTAGATTTTGAATCACAATACTTGTGAATGTGATATACCTTAAAGAATTATTTTTATTTACTTAAGTTTCAAATGACATTAGATTTTGTTAGACATTTAAGAATAAATATTAGTGAGAAAAACACACAACGTTTCGATGACTCCATGTCATCATTCTCAAGTGAGAAGAGAATAAAAATGATTAGTTAATTTATACCGTACGAAGGTGACAAACGTAAAAATTTTAAAAAATTTTTTTTGTAAAAAGAAAAAAAAAATTAAACTTTTTATGTTTGTCACCTTCGTACGGTATAAATTAACTATTCATTTTTATTCTCTTCTCACTTGAGAATGATGACATGGAGTCATCGAAATGTTGTGTGTTTTTCTC